TTTTCGGACACCCGTCTGGCCGAAATGGGGTGTGAACAGGGGCTCCAAAGATGCGCAAACAGCGGGAGGTTGTAAAGAGGCCAGGAAAGTTAATGCTTGTAAGTGGTTCACAACGCAGATTTGTATCTTACAGGGTCACTACTTGGCTGATTTCATGGACCATGGGCGCCTTTACTACCAGGACCGTCATCGTTATTCCGTAACCTAAGTGGTCTACACGAGTTCAGTTACAAATATAACTGGCTACAGCGGTTAATAATTTGTCTTCCGTGAATAGGACAATCTGGTTTATCAACCGTGTGGTTTCAATTAAACTCTATCTACAGGTCGGTTCAGAATTCGTGAAACATGCGGAAAGTTGCGAAACACTGATACTCACTCGCTCATCGGTAGTGAGTAGCATTGTAATGCTGACTATCATGTAGCCTATTCTCAATTCATTTCAGTCGCGATAGAATGCCGCCTTTTTAACGGGCTTCTTTCTGACCATCAACAAAAAGTCTGCACTGTAGAAAAACGACTGTTTATTTAGTATGCATTTTCATCATTGATTTTGACTGCCTTCGTAAATTCAAATATATTTTATGGAAAACATGCATAAAAAATGCTTTCTTCTACTCGGTTGGTAGAAGACTACGCTGTCTGCAAATGTTGTACGTAAAGGAAGGGTATATTTTGTATTTAAAAACATTTCTAAATTGTGCAATAAGTTTAAAACCTACCGAGTGCTACGGTCGAATTCAAGGTTTACAAACTGCGTGCTGTGTACATCCTGTTTAGTGAGAAGTACGCTTTTGCCTACGTTTTCAGGAAGAAACCACAAAGCTCTCATAAAATATTGCGATATATGTGGATCATGCTGTATACGTTAGAGGCAACATTAATAAATTAAGAGATTCGATGTATTATGAATGAACATCTCACAATCGTAAAAATCTTATAATTAGAAACGTTTAAAAACCGAAAAATACACTTTCTTTAAGTATAAATTTAAAGAAGGCGTAATTTGCTACCAAATGAGTACAAGAAAGAATTCTTTATGCATGTTTTTCCCACAAAATATATTCGGATTTATCAAGGCAGTCAAAATCAATGACAGATATGCATACTACGTAAGTAGCCATTTGTTACAGGGCATACTTTTTATAAGCGGTAAGAAAGAAGCCCGTTAAAAAGCCGGATTTCATCTTGACTAAAATGACTGGAGAATAGGCAACACGGTAATTGGCATTACAACCTTACTCAATGCCGACTAGCCAGTATCAATCTTTCGCAAATGTCGGCAAGTTGCTTAAATTTGGGACCGTACTGTGTATTGCTATTTCTGGTATTTGGTAACAATTATCTTTA